TTTTCTCCTCTGCCATTTGAACATCGTTTTAGGAATAAAGCAACTTTTCCCTCAGCCTACCCGACTACAGGTCCTAACCCCCACTACTGCCCTTAACTTCCTACTTCAGCCTCTAACCCCCACTGCAGGTTTTTAACCTCCCACTGCAGGTCTTAACCCCCAATACTGTACCTAACCTGCCCTTAAAGGAGCACTATAGGGTCAGGAACACAAACATGCATTCCTGACCCTATAGCGTTAAAACCACCATCTAGCCATCCTGGTCCCCTCATGCCTCCCTAAATATAGTAAAACCTTCCTTGTATTCAAGTCTGGAGCTGCTTACTTTGTCCCTGTTTCCTTTAGACCTGCCCACTGCCTGGTGAAATCAGCAGAAGTGGTAGCCTGATCCAATCACAATGCTTTCCCATAGGATTGGCTGAGACTGACAAAGAGGCAGATCAGGTGCAGAGTGAGCACAATTCAAACACAGCCCTGGCCAATCAGCATCTCCTCATATGAATTGAATCAATGAATCTCTATGAGGAAAGTTCAGTGTCTGCATGCAGAGGGAGGAGACACTGAATGTTTGGATGCATTTTAGGCAGCCATGACCCAGGAAGGATCTCTATCAGCTATCTGAGGAGTCGCCAGTAAAGTTATCACTAGGCTGTAATGCAAACACTGCATTTTCTCTGAAAAGACAGTGTTTACAGCAAAAAACCTGAAGGTAATGATTCTACTCACCAGAACAAATTCAATAAGCTGTAGTTGTTCTGCTGACTATAGTGTCCCTTTAATCCCGATTCCAGGTCCTAACCCCTTACTACTGTCCCATTACTCCACTTCATCCCCTAACCTTTCCACTACTGCCCCAAACCCCCAATACAGGTACTAACCTGCCACTACTGCCCCTAACCCCCACTACAGTTCCTAACTGTCCTTAACCCCCACTTCAGGCCCATAATTCCCTACTACTGCTTGTATACCTCACTACAGTCCCTATCACCCCACTAGAGTCCCTAATCCTCACCTATAGTCCCTATCACCAGCTACTGCTCCTAACCTCCTTCTGCCCTAACCCCCACTGCTACTCCTAAACCCCCAGCACTTGCCCGTAAACCCCCAACACCTTTCCCAAACCCTTACAGGTCCTAACCACCGACTTCAGTCTCTAGGGCAGTTCCTAACACCCCAATGCAGGTCTTAACCCCCACTACTGCCCCTAAGCCTCCACTACATTTTCTTATCTCTCACTACTGCTCCTAACCCTCTACTTCGGCTTCTTACCTTCCACTTCAGCCTTTAACCACCCTCCCCCCTAATACTGCCCTTAACCCCTCACTTCCGCTCCTAACACTCTACTTCAGCCTCTAATCTTCCATTGCAGGCCCTAACTCCCCACTTTAGCTTTGAACTCCCTCACTACTACCCCCATTATAGATCTTAAACCCATGCCAATGCCGCAAACCCCACCCCCACCCAACTAATGTCCCTAAAAGCCCCACTTCAAGTCCTAGCCACAACTATCCAGGTCCTAAACTCCCATTTCAGGTTCTAACCCCCCACTTCCGCGCCCTTAAGCGCCCACTACTGCTCCTAATCCCTAACTTCAGCCTATAACCCCCGCTTCCACCTCTGAAACCCCACTACTTCCCCTGACCTCCACTTCAGGTCCTGACTCCCTAATACTGCCCCTAACCACCCACCACAGTTCCTAACCTCCCACTTAAGCATCTAACCCCAACTACAGCTCCTAACCACCCACTTCAGCCTATAACTAACCACTTCTGCCTTTAACACCCCACTACTTCCCCTAACCCTTTTTTCAGGTCCTACCCACCCAATTCATCATCTAATTCCCCAACTGCAGGGCGTAACCCCCCACTGCAGGTCCTAACTCCCCATTTCAGCCTTTAATCTCCACTACAGTCCCTAATACCCTGTTACTCCCCTAATGCATAATTACAGGTCAAAATCCCACACTACTGCCCCTACCCCGCCCCTTACATGTTCACTTTAGTCCCTAACCCCTGTTCTCAAACCACCAACACTTGCCCTCAGAGTGGTTGGAGGCTGAAGCAGGGGATTAGGACCTCCCCCAAACCCCTCACTACAGGTCTTAACCACCCACTTAAAGGACCACTATAGTGCCAGGAAAACATACTCGTTTTCCTGGCACTATAGTGCCCTGAGGGTGCCCCCACCCTCAGGGACCCCCTCCCGCCGGGCTCTGGGGAGAGGAAAGGGTTAAACTTACCTTTTCTCCAGCGCCGGGCGGGGAGCTCTCCTCCTCCTCTCCACCTCCGATCCTCCTCTTCGGCTGAATGCGCATGCGCGGCTGGAGCGGCGCGCGCATTCAGCCGTTCTCATAGGAAAGCATTTACAATGCTTTCCTATGGACGCTGACGTCTTCTCACCGTGATTTTCACAGTGAGAAGCACGCAAACACCTCTAGCGGCTGTCAGTGAGACAGCCACTAGAGGCTTTGGAGGCTGGATTAAACCTATTATAAACATAGCAGTTTCTCTACCATTGTCACACACATCACACAGGGGCTCATGCTTATCACTCACAGCTATTCACACAGGTATACATAACACTCACTGCTACTCATACATATCACTCACAGCCAGCCTTATACATCACAGCTACAACACTTACAGCCACCTACAAAACCAAACCAGACATCCACCCAGCATTTTAATTTATATCCACATTACATAACAATTTTAAAAAATATTTTTTTCCCAATGCACACATTAGTTAAATGGGCTGCGCACACCTATGGTAGCAAATAAGACAAGACTTTGTTCCGATTTTGTCAGCCTTCATATGGGTATTCCTAAAATCCCAAAGCTATTTATTATTTTTTATTCAGTAACTAGAGGGTATGCGAATGAATAGGCTGCCTACATTACAGTGTTCACAGCTGTACAGATCAACTGTTGAGTGCCCCCTATGATTTTAAGAGAACTGCACGTTAGATAAAGACATTATGATGTACAATATGCTCATCACCAATCAAACCCTTTCACTCTGGTGGGCTACAATGTCTCTGAAAGTGCAACTAGAGCAATACGATTGCTTCAGGAATTCAGGCGCTATATCAGGCAGATTAGTAATATTTTGGTGGGAATTCTAACCTATTCTAAAAACATGGAGTCCACACAGAATGTTGACCAAAAGGGGCAGTTTAGACACTATAACCACTATATAACCATTTTTAAATAGTTTGGAATATCCTGTTAATCTCCTCTTCTGAGATTGCTAATACAGTAGTTCTTGTATTAGCATCATTGCAATTACACATTAGGAACCAATTCTAATTGGATACTGTTAATTGGCTGAGAGGGTCAGCTATTGACAGCCAGGGGGTGTAACAATGTTAGTTTATAAAAGTGACAATTTCTATTAAAATATGTACTTTTTGTAAAATCAAAACAAGAGGACGCTCTCTTCACACATACCGTATTTCAGCAAGATGAGGTGCTTTATGGTTATGGAGTGTCCCTTTAAGCATTCATGTAAATTCCGTATAAGAATCTTCACTTTTCCCCCCAGAGACGTTATATCCACAATCCATCAACATCTCTTCCATCCTGGTATCATTCTGTTTATACCATAATTCCATCTGAAATATGTACGCCACTCTCTGCATGTTTTTAATGTGTTAGCCTTTCATTGATAAATAAGACGTAACTTTTCATTACTACCTGTATAAAATAATAACTAATTAATAAAGATTTAACACCTGAACAAGGTGTTGTTGGGACTTGGAAAATCTTTTTTCCCACAGATGACATTCCAACTTTAATAGTGCTTACCTATATACCTTTCTAATGGGACACTCTAAGCACCATAACCACTATAGCCCATATTTAGGTGCCACATCCTGCATTTCTGCCAAACCAAACATATATATATATATAAAAATGCATGTTTTTTTTAAATATATTTTTAGTAGGGGAAAGGCGTGGGGGAGGGAAATACTATGAAAAAGCAGTTGCCATCCTTTACAAGACCTCTCCTCTTTACCAAACACAGTGGGGAATACACCAATCGGATGCCTCGCATTTAAAATCCTTTGTGACAAAATCACAAGTGCATTTACACACTATTACACATTTTCAGTGCTTCTGAGCTTTGATAAGAGTACGGCACACTCTAACCCAGCGTGCCTGGCACTTCCAGAAGAAAACCTCCATGACTGTCTAAGTGACAGCCAGAGAGGTGTTTTTGACTGACTATAAAAAATATGGCACACTCCAGACAGAAAGCTTAAGTGCTTTATGTGTCTGGAATGTTCCATTAACAATGATTGCCATAAAAAGGCTGAAGATATTGTAAAAAGTTTGGAAACTCAGAATCTATATTTTTCGATTCTTCAAAGAGAAAACCCCCAGTGACCAAAATGATAGCATCAATAAGAAAATACTAGAGCAGGTAAGTCCAGGTAAGTAACAGTGCTCAGTGTGGGTACTGGTTATACTTATCCATTTGGGAACCAGCACTTTCAGTCACACATGACAGAGAGAAGTTTAGGTTACCAGAAGGAGGCATTCGGGAAAAATTCTCGAGAATGACAAACTGAATTACGCATACCACTGCATTGATCAAAACCATTTGCAACTCATTTTAGAAAACTACTTTGGATGCATTTCAATGTGGGAATGTTACCAGTTTAAGTATCCATTGCTGAATGATCTATACATTCCACATCTAGTATGTTGTAGACACATTTCCAGAAAAATGAAAAATAGATATTTTTTTCCATTATGGCACATTCATTTTCATTTGATTGCAGTCCATCTGAGATCACTCCACAAATCATAATTTTCACAATCGGTTAAATACTACAACGTAACACAGTGTATTTGTCAAACTGAGCATTTTATACACAAGCATCAATAGTATACATTAGATTTGAATCTGCTAATTACATAAGTTATACTTACAATGGACCAATATGGTGTAAATAAATCTTACATATGGCATGTAAGAATAAAATTCAGCGTGGTTACAAATATAAATATATGCATGTGCAGTGTGGATATGTATATACAATACAAACATATATACACAAAGTAATAGAGCAGATATGTCTGAAAAAATTTTTAAAAAATAAAATTTACATTGCAAATGTATGTAAGATTTTTGACACGAGAAATGGTGGAAATATGAAGTATTTATGCTATTGCACTTTAGAGTTTTTATATTAACTTAAACAGAGAAGCACAATTTGATTCTGAATCCCCTTCAAATCCCCCTTCATATTGTAGTTAGTACCAGTACTCCTGTTGGCTCTAATCATTATTAACCAACTAGACACGGCATGCAAATAATTTAGTTTAATAGCATTCCCCCTCCCAGCAAATATAGGGCCCTACTGTTCAAAACTAGACTTGTGCAGTTCTATATTGATCACATACTTTGACCCTCTTAAGCTTCCATAGTGTAAGTAATCAGGATTTTATCATCTGGGTGGAACTCACTGTGTTGCTAAGTGAATTGAAATGACATTGATTACTGGTTCAATCATGAATGGACACCAAGAGCATCTCGAAGACGACCTCTACCAGGAGTAGGCAACATTCGGCACTCTAGATATTGTGAACTTCATATCCAAGAATGCTCTTACAGGAATAATGCTGACAACGCATTAAGGTAGATGTAGTCTACAACATTTAGTGTGCCGAAGGTTGCCTATCCATGACCTATACTGTTATAATGTAAGGTCTAGTGTGTATTTGATGGCGAGTGTTTTTTGGATGATTTCACTCATACTGTGTTAATTTAAAATAAAACTTCCATCTGTAAATGGTTTCTTGGCAGGGGACAAATGTTACCAGGCTCATGGTCCTATGTGGCCATCATGACGACCATGCCTAAGAAACACTGACCTTGTCCATGAGAGTCAACTTTTCTCTCCAGTTGCATTTGGATAGCAAAAGCTGGCCTTATAGGGAGAGTAACTTGTTGTCGGAACTGATAAATAAACGTTGTTGACTACAATGACTAAATATTTACTTCTTCGGAGGAAAAGGGTAACGTAAATGGATTAACAGTTCGAATTCTGTCTGACACATAATACTAATTAAACTGAGCATAGGAAAGACAAAACAAGTAATCAAGACTGCTCCTTCATACAAAAAAAGTTCAACGTCATCTTCTGTCTATTGTCTCTTATTTGTTCCTGACACTGAAGATGCTGCTAATCTGTTTATCTGAAAATATGGTGCACTTTTTGAATAGATAACATTTGCTATTGCACTCTGCTTATAATAGTCAGAAGACAAACACATACAACACAAACTGCTTGTTTTGAAATATCTGATAACTAGAGCTACCAATATATGTTTTTTGTATTGATCCTATATATTGCACCATCAGACAGTTATTTTTATGAATGTGTGCTTTTTCTCATGCAAGCATGAATAGATAATGTATAGATATTCTGTATCCGTAATACATATAAAACTATGTACATATATGACCTATGCATCAATACAATTCTGACTCATAGACATATCAAAGGAAATTGTCCAGAAATGTTTTTATGTTTTATGTTTTGTTTTTTGTTTTCAATAATTTTAATGAGAAAAAAATATGTTTTAGTGTGCTTAGATGTTTTTCTTGGAAAATGAATTCACTGTTGTTAACTGTCATCTCATTCACAATTGTGTTTGTGAATGTCTGCATGTACACAAGCATATGTCAACATATTATATATATATATATATATATATATATATATGTAGCATATACATAGAGATTGAAATACATTGTGCAATGCCATGTGTCACACAATATTTGTGTGGCACGTGGATCTGTATATTACTGGTTGAAGTGTGTCCTGTAATACATTTAACCCAATGCAAATTTGACTGTTATACAGGTAATTGGAACTAGTATTCCAAAGGTTAGCAAACAGCATTAGTGCATTTTAGCACTCAAATATTATATAAATATACATATATATTTTTAAACATGTAGAATTCCTATTATATATTATGTAAGTGAACAGAACATTTACTCTCTAGAGTGACTAAGTCCCCTAGCATGTAAGCACATTCCTTGATGCAAGCATATTTTACTTATAGCTTAAATGTCTTATAAAATATACAATCAGTACGTCCCTTTTCCTGATTCAGTCTATTTATTCCTATAAGGAAATTATTCTAGATAATAAGTTCAAGAGTATAAGTACTATCACCATTTATGCAGCTATGCATATAGCTATGTTTCATATTTTTTTGTTTATATGTTTTCTTCTACTGGGAAAAAAGTTTTTCCGTATTGTCTACATAATTTCTACATAGTGAATACATGCAATCTGCACTCATGCATTAGTCTAATTTCACATACATCTATTGTTTTATAAATGAAATGTAGGCATAAACTATGTCATAAAAATTGAGTAGTCCAACAAGAATCCTGCAGGTAAGAAAAAACACACAAGCACCCATGGGTTGTCCACAACCCTGCTTTAGGACACCTCGGGTAGTCTGTTTTATTAGATCACTGTATTTATATGGACCGGGTCCACTACGAAATCTTTTATGGCCTACGTCATGAAAAATATGTTGGACAGCACTATCATAGACTATCACGAAACACCTGAGTCCTTCAACATTGGAGGGGACTTGTAGCACTTTAAACAGTAATATATACCCCTCCAATTTATTAGCAATAGATAATATATATCAAGTTCTTCAGGAGACAGATATACCCACATACAAAAGGAAGTACAACAGAACATCTCAACCTTACAGATGTGGATCGGCATTCTGACTAGATTGTTGGGAATAGCTAAAATTCCATTATTTGAACATGCATACATGTATTTTACATAGACTTCGTTCACATGGGTTACCTTCCATAGGTCAATAGCTTTACCACAGCCTTTCTCATCTGTCAACAAGGGGAGGAAAATCCCAGAACCCCATACTGTGATATCCCTTAATCGTTTAACCCATTGTTGCCTTACAACATGTTGGTATGACACCTAAAATGGCTATCAACATTTGTGTATTTTCCTTTAAGCCATTACAAATGAACTATTTATTGTATTAAACACTAGAGACTGATTAGAGTGAGGAAGCAATAGACCACTGTCATGTATTTATGCACGAGTGTTTGTAATGAGTATGCATAGATCTGCAGAACACAGATGTCTTCAGGTATAGCCATTTGTCCTACATCCCTCTGCAGTTCTGATATACAAAAATATATATGTTCTCCTTTAAAATATGGACGGCTTCTTAATCCTTTATCCTAATCATTATTAAAGCATGAAATGACGGGATGTACGTATGTGCATTATTATTTAAGTGCAATTAAATTGGAGATTCCTACAGCTTACGAGTTGACATGTCCAAAAGATTTCTGTTTCTAATCTAGAGTTTTATAAATAAGATAGTGTCTTTAAGTACACGTAAGATACATTTCTTTGGACAATCATGTTCTTGTAATGGTTTATGCATGAGCCATATGTGCAGGGTGGCTGGTTGCCCACATTCGTGTCTTCGTAACGATATAGGTAACCAACTTTTGAGGCCTATTACCAAAGTAAAATGTAAAGTCCATATGGCAGCTGCAGACCCTCTTTTGGCAACCTTTGCGGTGCTTCATTCAGTTTCATTTTAGGATATTGATAAAGCACAGCTATGTCTAGCAGCTATATTCTCAAAGAGGGTCTGCAGCAGCTGAAGCCTTTCAGTTCCATGTTGGCAACATGGCTGGGAAGGAATTTCCTTCTGCCAGTAAGTACATTGTGAGAGTAAGCAGTACATCTGGTCTGGTATGCAGCCTAAAAAAGATTCTCTTTGCTTCTCGGTCATAAAGCTGTCAAAATTCCCCTCGCTTAATATTAGATGTTCTACAAGTTATGTTCTAATTGGAAATGCAATATACATCACATTACACAGCTATTGCTTTCCATGCAGAATTGACACACCTAGAAATATATGACCTAGCAGATTATTGCATTACACAAGCACTGCAATTGTCCCAGACACCCTTGCAATGAAAAAGTCAGTCAGACATCAGTAAGCATTTTGGTTATATTTACATAGTTGGTATTTCCTAAAGTGCAATTTGCAGTTTTTAAATTCTTCTCTCTAAAATCTTCATTGCTATGAGTAACACCTTCCTGAATCTCCATGTAGTCAGATTTACTGAGCGTGGAGGCACTTCTACTGTTTTGAAGGTCAGGGGAAGATGGAATCTTTGGACAGCTTGTTACTTGCAAATATTGTGCTTGCTCCTCTCCCTCTGTCTCTCTATGATAGAAGTAATTAAAATTAGACACTATGACTGGAACAGGCAAGGCAATGGTTAAAACGCCTGCAATAGCACACAGGGAGCCTACTATCTTGCCACCTATTGTTGTAGGGACCATGTCTCCATATCCTACTGTTGTCATGGAAACCACAGCCCACCAGAAGGCATCTGGGATGCTGGGAAACTGAGAATCTCGCTCATCAGCTTCTGCAAAATACACTGCACTGGAAAAAAGAATAACACCAATAAAGAGAAAAAATATTAGAAGACCTAATTCCCTCATGCTGGCTTTGAGGGTCTGTCCCAGAATCTGGAGACCTTTAGAATGTCTGGAAAGCTTGAAGATTCTAAATACTCTAACCAGTCTAATAACCCTAAGAATTGCTAAAGACATAGCTTGTTGACCCTGTTGCCCGTCTTCGGATTTCTCTGCCAGCTCTGTACCTAGTGTGATGAAGTAAGGAATAATGGCAACTATATCAATTATATTCATGATATTGGTGAAGAAGCCAGCTTTGCTTGGGCAGGCAAAAAATCGAACCAGAAACTCAAATGAGAACCAGATAATGCAAAGGGTCTCCACAATGAAGAAAGGGTCTTTAAAAGTGTTAGGCTGTTGGTATCCATGAGTGCTGTTGGGACTTGGGTCGTAATTTTTCCCAGGCATGTCTTCTTCATCTCTGAAAATAGGCAAAGTTTCAAGGCAGAAGCTGACAATAGATATTAAAATCACCATGACTGAGATAATAGCTATAATCCTGGCAGGTCCAGAGCTTTCAGGATACTCAAATAACAACCACACCTGCTTCTGGTACTCATTATCTGGTAAGGGACGTTCCTCTTCCTTAATAAATCCCTCATCTTCCCTAAAGATCTCCATGGCTTCTTCGCCAAGTTCATAGAACCGAATTTCCTCCGAAAATATATCCAATGGTACATTGACGGGTCTCCTTAGCCGGCCCCCAGATTGGTAATAGTAAAGGATTGCATCAAAACTTGGTCTATTTCGATCAAAGAAATATTCATTTCTCAGTGGGTCAAAGTATCTCATTCTCTTTTTAGGATCTCCCAATAATGTTTCCGGGAACTGTGACAAAGTTTTCAACTGCGTTTCAAACCGCAGCCCTGAAATATTTATAACGACCCTCTCACAACATTCATGGTCTGGTTCGGGATCATAAGTGTCCTGGGGGTGGCCTGGCAGCGCTGAAGCTTCATCTGTGGGATCTCCAGTCGCAACTGTCATAGTTATTGACCAAATAAGTGCTTGGTCTGGCTCCCAGTTGGCTGTTGGCAGTGGATCTTACTAAAGCACACAGAAAAATTTGATCTCAAAATCCTACTGACTTTCTGGAAAAGAGAAGAGGTATAAAACCTCTCACCTAGAAAAGAAGAGAAAAGTTCTTTAATACAATAACAAAAACATAATAATTTACTTTCGAACCTATAAGGTACCAGTCATATTGTGCAATCCTTCCCGGAACAGAAAATGTTAAGGCAGTTTAACGATCAGTAGTGTCTCTGGTGTATTTTACAATGTAACGTTATGCTTTCTCCCATATCCCATATTTTATCCCCAGAATAGACAGACTGTAGAGGTATGATCTCAATGCTATCCAATTGATTTTAACTCCTATTAAATCCCAGTAGTGTTATCAGTAGTATTACAGCAGCATCACAAGGACAAAAGCAATCGTATATAAGGTTATACAGTCTGCATAGTTCTGTCTGTCTGAACTAGCCCAAGTTTTTGGTCTTGAAATAAGAGACATCCATACATTGTATCCTCAATATATCTTATAAACCAAAATGTGGCTGTGCTAACAGAATTGCCAGTCGTTCTACTATACTATTTTATTTATATGCTTACTCATTTACATATTAAATTTGGAATACTATTTTGGCAGACATTGCATTTGACCAAGAACCTGTTTACGAATGCAATGACAACAGACATACCAATCTCAACTAATAAGGTTTATCTCTCTCTCTCTCTCTATCATATCAAATGTAACTCAAAATACATTTAACTCCTTAATTACCAGATGATTGGCTAATTTTATTAAACACTGCTTTTCAATCCTCAGTCAACTCAAAAATGATGAAACAAAAATTATGAAAAATTATGAAAAAATTTTTTTATTGTGCTTTAAATGCATTACCAAATAAAATAAAAAAAATGTCCATATTTTATAACGTAAACAATACCATTAACCCTTTAAAGACTGGATAGTGCATACATTCAGCAGTATTTACACATGAAAACGTTAGCATATGTATAGAATCAGACAAAACATTTCTATTTTAAAATGAATATATCAGAGACTAACAAAAAAAGAGGGGAGGGGGATAGATCAACAGCATCTTACCTTGAGAAGCCAACCTCCAGGTTTCTTAGTAACTAGGCTAACTACTCCAGGGAATGCATTACACAAAAACAGGATTACTGGCATCCTATAGACTGTGTGTTCTAAAAGTCCAAAAATGAAATCAGTAGCTTAGCATGAGGGGAATCCTTGAAAAGAGAGAGGGCTCATTCTTCTCGCCAGTGAAAGAATATGATTGATTTTGTGTGCTCTCTTACTTGAAAGCAGACGAGCTTCTGTTTAAAGCAAATAATGTGATAGATGGAAGATGCAAGGCTCAGCAAAAAAAAAAAAAAAGACAAGCACTGGTGTCCTCAGGAGGTGTGACGTTGCCTGGACAAAAAAAGAAGAAAAAGAATCGAGAAGCTAGGTGAAGCTGGTACAGAGTGAAACATCTGCAGAGTATGAGAGTCCAGATGCAATAGACACAGCCTCCCTGTGCACTGTGCCCCACTATTCTGCACCGCAACAAGAACACAAGCAGGCAGTATTCAGTGCACACCCCACATTACATGGAGAGCTGCACAGACTAGAGCACACAGCAGCCCAGGATTCTAGCAATGCATGCTGCCTTTACCTCACACCAATGTACAGAGAGAAGATGTGTGTATTAGCAGATGCATGAAATAGTGCCTGCATTTATTATGGGAGCTGGATACCTGGCTTCAGAAACGCAGATTTCTAAAAAAAAAACAAAACAAAAAAAACAGAAAAAACAAAACAAAACACTGGTGGACCATTTCTAATCAATAAAGCAGTTATTAATAAGATAAATCCATTTTTTTTGTTTGGTGGTGTTGAACTGGCCATCATATTATGCATTCATCACCTGCAAGGGTTTTCATAGATATCTAAAGTCAATGTTGGTTTTGAGGAAATAAGACAAACAAACACAAACACATCCCCAAAAAAAGCCAAAAAAAAAAGCCAAAAAATAAAAAAGCCAAAAAACAAACATTAAAAAATAGCCCGTCTATGCCTCTTATTATTAAGGATTAAGAAGACATAGACCCTATAGTTATAGTGATACCTATAGATAAAGCAGTAAGGAGGTGTGGAGGGCAGGTTATACCTTTAACCCCTTAAGGACCATACTTGTGGAATAAAAGGGAATCATGACATGTCACACATGTCATGTGTCCCTAAGGGGGTTAAACCAAAGGTATGCTATAAATATACTATCTGGGAAAGGACTCCTTGCCCCCCCCTCCCCCCCCTCACACACACACACCTCTACTTGTTATATAATAAAGCAAGTTTTCGTGTGACCAGGTCACATCCCAAAGAGAAGGCAAATGAAATGTGTATTCAGTGTATTGTGCATAGTGAATGAGCTGCCTCGAATCTATCGGATACCTTTACTGACAGCAGACAGCAAGCTGACATTCGATCCTTTTACAAAAGAATCTTAGCAAATCTAATACCATGTATGTGGATGCCTAAGATACACCTTACTTTGCATGATGTCATAGGGGATAGCACCAAACCATCGGTGCAGATAAATTATCCAGAACACTTGCCTGCATTATAGACACTATTTTTGTCTGCTTTTTATAGCAGGAGCTACAGTGCTGACGTGGAAAAGGGGAAGGGGGATTCCATATATTTTTTTTTTTATCCTGTACCATTTCACTGCTGGGGATGGGGGATCTCTGCACATTCATGTCACTTCAATGGAGGAATTGCAATGGGTTGATCAGTGTTCTAGCATTCAGCCCTGCACGAGTTAAAGTGGGGCTGGGGGATGGGAGATCAACTTATTCTTCCATATACAGTCACGGTCAATTCCTGATTTCAAAATGGATTAAAGAATTGGATTAGGGCCAGGTAGGGGCTCTGTTAATGGTCCATTACCATTTGCCATATACACTTACCTGCTTTGCTTGTATAGTGCATGTAGAGCTATGTTATAATTGGCTGTATCATATGATGGCATTTATCTGATAGTTTCAGCAGCTTAACCAAATACAATTCATAAACTCCCATCCCTATTCACCAGGCAAATAGTATATTCCTAATGCCTACTACATAAAGGACTGGGATTTCCTTATTTAGAATACATTACTCCCTCCTGATCGTCGATTTCATAATAAAAGCTATTTCCCAGTTATATTTCTTAGGTTTGAATAATAATTAAGATCATTAAAGCACATATTACATTTGGATAAACACAATTGGAAATGTATACATGCACTTTACTCTTCATGTATTACGTGAAGTGTATTATGTAATCCAATCTGTTTTTTGATTTATTCCAGTTTATTTTAGCTAATTAAAATGGGTAGATTTAAATATTCCAAAGTGCAACAATGTATCTATGTGTGAAAAAAATATGCAATTTAATTAAAACGATATTGGTTTCGTTGTGAATGGAAAGAATAGCTTCATTTAATTTTTTAATTAAGGCTACAATTGGCATTTTAATAATTCAATATACAGTACTTACATTACTGGTAACAAAAGATGGTTCGGTGACCTTTGAACTGAAAAAAAGATGAATACAATTGAGTGTCATTACTGGTTTTCTATTGTTTTCATTTTGCTGTTTTTGTTTGTTTGTTTTGATGTTTGTTTTTTCTTCTTTACATCTCTCTATCCCTCTGCTGTAAGTCACACTGTTTATGGGTATCATGCACTGGACAGACAGATAACCCTAAACTAAAGACATGTTTTATTTTATGATATCCCAACAAATAGCTGTCAGTACTTTAATCTCAGTAAGCATGCAGTTATGATGATAATGATCCACACTGCAAAGATCTGCCAATTCAAATTTAAATCTTTTTCAATTAAGTAAACCAGGTAAAAATCTGCATGCAAACAGAAAATTGTCATGTTTGATTTACCCGTTCCATTAGAAATCTGACGGTTCCATTTTTCCCAGTTTGTGCTAAACCTCTTCTTAATGGGGGCAAAGCAGAATCCTGCAATTGGTTCTGCAGTAAGGCATGCAGTGCATACATAAAGACTTGGTTGCACTGTAGCAACATATATCTACCTGGCAACTGTTTAACTAGATGAATATAGTACATGTGTACACCAGTTACTGAGTATATATTTTTATTTGTATATTTCCCCTCCATGCATAGGAATTGGAATGTCTTTAACATTATATGAATGTCAGAGAACAGTGCTTTATGCTATAACCATATATCTACATAGAAATTAAATAGTTAATGCTGAGGAGTTTAATTCATCATGAACAGTGAATTGTGAATACACAACCTCACCTAAGCTTGGCAATATTGGTCTCTATTTTGGAATTAAGTTGTGAATTCACTGTTTAGTAAATACATATTTATGAGATCCATATTTGGAAGATTTTTTTTTCATTTTGCATTTAACTTGAAATGTTTTGCAGTCTAATTAATTCACTGATCTGAAATTAAAAAAATCAAATTTTGTTTTGTCCAGGGCAAGCATGATCATCATGATAGAGGTGGAAATCTCACTTAATCCAACTCACAGGGGGAACAAGAATACAGGACTTGTTGCAGTAGAAAACTCAAATGTACTGTATTCAATAGACTCCTGGTCTTAGCCTCAACACAGATCTCTAGTACTTACTAGTATTTCTGCTACATGACAGATATACTTTTTAAATTTTAGGCAACGTGCACTATATCGTTGTGGATACAAACATGTAGTCCTAATGCTATGGTATCCTAGCCCGTAATTAGATTCAGAGCCCTCTCCCCTTTTTACCGGTGATAAAAAATACAGAAAATAGAAATAGAAATCAGTTAGTGATATGACCATCTGATATGTACACCGATCTACAGATACCCTAATTACAATATATAACACACACACAATATAACACAATATATATATTTATGTTTTTTATCATATGTTGGCTTTTATACTCTTTTGGCATTTGGTTGCCATGGTAACATGCTCATATATCATGTGATTTATGTGACATGGCTCTAATTACAGCCCATACAACAGATGTTTTTTCTGGGGGGGGGGGTGTTTGTTTACTTTTTGGGATACATTATAAGACGCTTTCTTGCCGTTTTTTTGTTGTTGTTGTTGTTTTGCTATTGGACTCCATTATTTGATCATTAACCGCTCTGTCGTATACTTCATATATGTTTATTGATTTGTTTACTTGCAGATGGACTCTATTTAATTACCCTGGTTACTACACACACCCTGGTGGGAATATAATTCTGCGCCTTTTTTGCAGGTATATATGCCGTGACATACCTTGTGTTCTGTCATACATGATTAAGGCCTTGGGCCAAAGAGTTGAATTTTTTTTTGTTCCTGTTTTCAATAAATTATTTTGAAGTACCTACCCCGTTGAACCTGCAGACTTTTTATTTTTGTCATTTGGAGTAGCTTCCATGATGATGGTGCAATCTAATGCTCCTTATGTACACTACACATATACTACATTATAGCTATGGCTTCCCCATGAGCTACATTTGAAGACATGTTACGTCCTCATGGACATTGAAAATCACAGGAGTTAAACTCAGTAATTGCAGTGGAAGCGCCTTGAGTGCCTCTCACGAAAACAGTAACTAGAGGTGTGTTTAACCCTTCAATCAATATATTGCTGTATCTACTAACTGGCAATATTTTAGATTGAAGGGCCGAAACTAAAGGGACACTGCACCCACACCACTTCATTGGGATGGTCTGGGTGCCTTTATTGGTCATTTAGAAACTAGTAGTCTTCATCCCTATATCCTGTGCTGTGAAAGGAGGACAAATGTTCTCCTATGTCCCTTACCTATATGTGGATAGAAAGTGGTTTAAAATCCATAGCGGGCAACACATAAATATAAGTGGAACCTGTCAAGTTAAAGTTTTACCCGTAAGTTAAAAATCAAAGCGGATGGTTGCCCATCTGCTCTGCACCCCTGAACTGAGGAAAAGAGGTTATGACTGTGGCAAACCTAGCCACTCGGACTATAACTGGACACTATGCCTTTAAGGGTTGCCTATAGGTCTGGAGAGAGATGCGTTGTACCTGTATGTGCCTGCTTCATGTATTCCCTGCATTGCCTGTACCTATCTGTTCCGTCGAATGCAAATGGCGGTTTGTATGGGGATTCCCGTTCGTTTCGCGAACGGCACTTTGGAGGGCCGTTCGTGAAATGAATGCGATACCCCCTAATAGCCCACACACTTAGAGGCGTGTGGCGCTAGTTAACCGATTGCAACATTGTTGCAATCGGTTATTAGAGGCTCTCCTGGGTGGCCGTCGTTCGACTACCGACCATGCGGCGGTCGGCCATCTTGGATCCCTGGTTCTTCAGCGGGTCTGTGTCGTCGAACGCATAGCATTGCCAACAGTTATTCGACGGCACGAACACCGCTGAGCCTCCAGGACGTTCGGGAGTTTCAGGACCAGGTTCACTAAAAGCAATCGGTTCTTTTCGTGGGTTTTGAAAGAAATATGTTTTCTGTGCGGCGTTCGGTTATTTTAGCTGGGATCTGAGCGGCAATCTCACGAATGATG